TTTCCGCGACGGCTGAACCAACGAACTTTTCCTCAACCCAAAATCTGTTCTCATCGCTCACTTTAACGTGCAAGTAAAGCTTATTGAAAACTCAGTTTAGTTCTTCTTCGTTAAACAAATTAGCAGAATCCTTGCCGTTAAGAAGTCCAAAAGCAGTTTCGAATTGCTCTTTGGTTATTAGACCAAGACTAGTCAAAAGATCGCTGTCTGACGAACTTAGTTTTAGACGTAACGCTTCCTCAGCGCTGATGGGGGTGCCATCAATTTTGAAGGAGTAAAGACCTTCAATTCAACCTTCTTTGAGAGCGCGCCCGATTAAGTCGCTGCGATCAATGTTAGCCGTGTTCCTAATTGTTGCTCTGGCAGAATATCCTCTTATTTTTGGGCGCTCAAAATTCTCATTTAGTTCCACGTAACGCACAATTTGGTTCACAATTTGCTCAGCGGGAATCTCCAAAATTCGCGGATCATCTGCTAGCAAGTAACCTTCATCAAAGTTAGCCCACCTAACTTGGATGTTTCACGTTAAGTTGTTTCAGCTCGGCGTTGGGAACATTTTTTGAGTGGCTGAGGCCTGATCAGCACGCAGGGCAGTTACTGCTCCATTTGAAGAATTTACGCCGTAAACCCGGTTGCCGCTCGGATCGGTTAGAAAACCTTCGCCGTCAGTTTGAAGTTGTCCGTTGAGTCAGAGAACAAAAGCGTCTATCGGAATAAAGTAGTTGGGGCTCGCTGCCTCAAAGTAGGAAATTAGGAGAACGGGTTTGACTTTTTCAGATAAATCTTGACCTAGCCCTGGGTTAAGACTTTGCAATGCTTCCTGCCAGGTTTGACTACCTACGGAAAATTGAACGGCAAAGTTGTCGTTGGTGCGTCCCGAAAAACTGATCTGCCACTGGTTGGGGTCGTTAGGAACTTTAAGCAGTTGTTTTTGACTACTCAAATCAATTTCAGCAACGGTTGGTCCGGTAAAATTGTTTTTAACGTAGTCGGAGGGGTGAACTCTGGTAAGTTCAATGGCTTCTTCATATTTACTTGGCACAGACACTCATGTTGTTCCGGTGTTGTCTTTGAAAGGTGCCAGACGGAAATAAAGAGCATTTTTTTGACCTTTTAGCGATGGTTTTGTAATTAGTTGACCTTCCCCGGCGGGTATTTCTGGTATGCCATGCGAAGAATTGGACGCAATCTTATCCTCGCTCAAAACAACATTTTTTCATTCCCGGTTGTCCAAACTAACTTGCAGTTTGTATCCCAAATTAACAAGTTCGTTAGTTTTGAGTTGTTTAGGAACTTGGATAGCCAAACCGTTTTCAATGCCGACTACTCCGTGAACTTTAATCCGATGAAGTTCGCTGACAAAATCGTCTATGTTTTGGTAAGCAAAAAACTTTGAAGTATTAATAGCATGAAAAGTTTTGTTAGGATAAACATCTAAATCTGAGAAAGTGAACTGAAATGACGGACCATCCGGCGGTGTGTAGATACGATCTTTTTCTCACCCGATAAGACTTGGCACCAACCGAGGGAAAACTCCTGGTTTGGACCGGGCTTCTTCTAAAAACATCTCTCTCATCTTTGTTTCGCCTACCCAGTATTCTTTATCAGTTGCACCCCCTCTAAAAATAACTTTAAAAGTCTTTCATATTGCGTCTAAATGCTTAATCTCGTCGGGGATAGTAATCCCTGAGTAATCAATTGTAAAGTCAGCCGTGTTGCCAATGAACTTAATATTTTGGAGATTTAGTCCCCCTTTGTCTACGACAAGGAGTGACTTAACTTTTCTAAGANCTGCGGCCTTCTAGACGTAGGTTGACTAACTGCTCGTGGATTAGATCTTGATCAAGCGTCTTTTTGATTTTTTCGCTTTTTGCCAGTCAATTATCCACCACAATTTTTAGCGAGTCGTCATCCGCCTCTTTTTGGTCAAACCTGACTAAAGCAAACTCAATTGAACCAACGTGGGCGCGGTTATTGAGCGTATCAAAAAGGTTGCCGGCCTCGGAAGATCCGTCAAAAACTCATTTTAGCTCCTCAAGCGTTAGTCACTTTCGGCTAGCCAAAAGGTCCGCGCGGGCGCCCGCAGCACCAAAAGTCAGCCGGCGCGAACCAGATAAAGAAACTAAGTATTTAAGGCCAAAGCGACCGGCGTCAACCCCAAGTTGCTCGCCTTGGTGATCAAGTAGTGATTTAAGGTGGTTAGTTGAGTTGTCTCCCGAATCGTAAGACTTTCTCAGCGACCAGTGGCGCGACACCGAAAGCCAGTATAGGTCAGGACTGACATGATTTTTTCAATCCACATCAGTTACTTTAGTCAAACCGTTAAAGACTTTGTCTTGTCCAAAACGAGTTTCAATTTGGCTCTGCTGATGAACCAGTTTAGCGAATCTGTCCCAGCCAGCGTTAATTCACGCTAGAAAATCTTGGGTTGAACGTCAATCTTTTTGACCTTTTAGGCGGTGGTAAAACCCGACCTTGGTCAGTCTTTCAAGCGACCAACTCGGATTGTATTTTTGGATCAATTTCCACAAACGACTGCCGTCAGCGGCCGTAAACTTAAACGCGAAATTTTCGCCCACAAAACCTTGCGTTTCAATTTTTAAAAGACTCAGTAGTTCGGCGGGAAAGGCCAGTGGTTGCTCAGCCAAAACACATTCTTCTAGGCGACGACTTAACGATTGAACATGAAAATTTAAGTTGATCTCAAGACTTTGACTGACTAAATCATAGTTGGCATTAACAATTTTAATTCCAGCGGGCAAATCAACTCCGACCGATTTAAGTCAAGCGGTTAAATCAAAGTTAAGTCTTGAGTAGTCTTGGTAGAGAAGTTTTCTATGAATGTGGTCCTTGAGCGACGCCAGTCATTGGTTGAGAGCCTCGGAATGGCCTTGCCGATAAGTTAGAATCAACTGGCGCGGACTTGACCACTGATTTGAGTGTCCAATTCGATAAGTCAGTTCTTCCTCGGTCTGGCTTAACCATCTTTGGTCAAGTATTTCCAAACGTAAGCCATCTGGTAAAGCGATCCGCTCGCTAATTAGAGTTATTCCTGCCTTGCTGGCCGGATCAAAATCAAGCGGGCTGTCCACCGTGAGATCGTCAATTTCCAAGCGGTTAAGGTAGAGCCAAGCGACCGAACGGTAAACTAGTTGGTCGGCATTCTCGCTTGCCAAGTAGTATTTATCTGAGTCGGCGTCAGTTAAGTCGCTCGGGCGTACGTCATAGATTTTTTCCAGACTAAGTTGGTGGTCTAAATCGGTCAGGTGACCGCCGATCTGGTTTGAATCGTCTAATTTAACAAAAGCTCAGGGGCTATCAAAATCTTGGTGCCAAATTAAAACTTGCGTCTGATCGCTATTTTCAACCAAACGTTTTTCGATTTGCTCAAGACTAACTTGCCCGCTTGGCGGAGAGAAACTATTCCCGAGTTTTTCGTTAGGGGTTGGAGTCGGTTGCTCTGACGTGTCCCTAGCAACGCTCACCCAAGTCGCTGCTAAAGCAGCGCCACCGACGGAAGTCGCAACCAAAGGTAGTTTTGCTCAAGAAACCACCCGCCTTAACTTAATTCAATTGGACACTTTTTTCATATTGCTTTTCTTAACAAAACAATTTTACTACAAATTAACTAAAAAAATAAAAAATTGCTTCATAAAATGGCCGAGCAACAATGCGGTTGGTCAACTGATAACTAACCGAAGAAACACTGAGTTGACCAAAAAATAGAACCGGTTTATTTACGGAGCGAAAGTTGTTTGATCGTTGACTGATAAAGGTTTAAATCGGTTCGTTTCAAGTAAGCCAAAAGTTTTTTGCGTTGCTCAATCTTAGCTAAAAAACCGCGTTTAGAGTGGAGGTCTTTGGGGTTAGTTTTAAAGTGTTGCTTTAAAGATTCAATCTCGTCGGTTAAAAGAGCGATTTGAACAGCGGGCGCTCCGGTGTTATCAACGCGCTCTCCAAACTTTTTAACTAAATTGGCTTTTGCTGCTTTAGTGACCATAAAATCTTTACCTCGCAAACTTTCTTATGAGCAAAATTATACAGAACCGGCGTTATTTTCTTAAATATTCCTCAATTTTCGCACGGGCTTTGGCAAGGTCGGTTTTTTTTAAAACTTGCTCAACCTGATTGGTAAAAAATCTTAGGCTGGCTAAAATTTCAACCTTTCAATTTTTGATGCCAATTCCAAACTGGTGGTCTGGCACGATTAGCTGACAATCTTGGTCTAAGATCCGACAAACGCCTCAGTAGCGCGTCGCGGCTTGAAAAGCTCAAACGGCGTAAACACCCGGCAAGGGTTGGGCGATCGGAGGATATTTAAAAACGCCCTTTTGATCAACTTGAACTTCAAAAGTGAACGGGAAAAGCGCCTGCTGATTAACTAAATCAATTTCGCCCAGTTCAAGCAACTGTTTAATGCTGCGGGTTGATAACTTGGCGGACTGGTTTTTAAGATGTTCAACTACCAAAGTGGCTGGGAACCATTTTTTCAGATCATCCACACCCGCTCGGCGACTCTGACCAAAACGAAACTCTTGGCCCACGACTAAGGTTTTAGCGTTTGTGAAACGGGTAACTTGCTTAATAAAACTTGCCCCATCTAAATCTCGCACTTTAACAAAATCAACTAAGTAAGCAAACTCAAACCCAAGCGCAGCCAGTTGCTCAAGCCGAACCGATAACTGGTTGTAGGGCCGGGCGTGACTTTTGCTGGGAATTTGGCTGGGATCGCTAAAAAGTAGCACGCCAAGCGGTTTTTTGAGTTGGCGAGCTTTTTCAAAAAGACGGGCGTGACCGCGGTGAAGCGACTCAAAAGCCCCCAGCACCAAAACTGTCCCGCGCGGTTTCACTCGGGCGGGAAAACGGTAAACATCAATCGTCAAAGTCTTTGGGTGGTCACTCAAGGTGGTATGGTGCGCAAGAAGGGAGTTGAACCCTTACTCCGTTAGGAACTAGTGCCTAAAACTAGCGTGTCTGCCAATTCCACCACTTGCGCTTGGTGCGCCCTAAAAGATTCGAACTTTTAACCAAAAGCTTAAAAGACTTCTGCTCTACCATTGAGCTAAGGGCGCTGGTGCTGGTTATAGGACTTGAACCTACAACCTACGGTTTACAAGACCGTTGCTCTCCCAATTGAGCTAAACCAGCGTGGTGCAAGATGAGGGGCTCGAACCCCCGACCCTCTCCTTGTAAGGGAGATGCTCTCCCAGCTGAGCTAATCTTGCGTAATTGGTGACCCATGCGGGAGTCGAACCCGCTCGTGTATGGATGAAAACCATATGTGTTAACCGTTTCACCAATGGGCCTTGGCGCCGAATACAAGATTTGAACTTGTGACCAACTGGTTAACAGCCAGCTGCTCTACCACTGAGCTAATTCGGCTAGCGTAAGAATGCCCACCCATTATACAAAAATTTGCCTCGGCTAGCCGATATTTACGTCCTCATCGACGTACGAATAATGCTTAGCCGAACTGTTGCGACGACCCCAGAGCAAAATCGTTGATGAAACGCCTAATTGCCCGATGAACATGATCAAAATCATCGAGGACTTAGTCGCCGCTGACAGGCCGCTAGTCAGGCCAGTCGAAAGTCCGGTCGTTCCGAAGGCCGACGAAACTTCAAAGAGCAATTCAATGAAAGTGAACTTGTCGTCGCGTCGAGCCAGCACGCTGCCGGCATCAACGGGCGTGTACTTCTGATCGTTAAGTAGGCCGCCGTAATCGTTAAACGAAGTGTTACCAATCGCATTCACAAGAAAAACGAGCGCGATTGAAGTTGCGAAGACTACGTACGCGCGTTCAACCGTCTGACCGGGGATTACCCGGCGGAAAACGCGAACTTGCTCACGACCGCGGATCCGGTTCCAAATTCCCATGATAATGATCGCCAAAGTGGTGGTTCGGATTCCGCCGGCCGTTGAAGAAGGTGCCGACCCAATGAACATCAAGATGATGTAGACAAACAGCGAATAGCGCGATAAGTCGTACATGCTGATCGTTGAAAAACCGGCGTTACGGGTTGACATAGTGTTAAAAATGAGCGCCATCACCCGTTCGCCGGCGTTGCCAAAACTCGAGTCGGAAGAATTCCAAAACGAGCGCTCGCTTTTAATCGTCATTTCAAAGACGACGACGAGCGCAATTCCCACTAGGGCGACAATCACGTACGTCACCATTGACAACTTACTAAAGAGCGACCAGCGAAAGGGCGTTTTGGTGACCTTGGATTTAAAGTACAAGTAAGTGTCGTAGATGACCGGGTAGCCGATTCCGCCGATGATAAAAAGCAGCATAAACATTATTTGCAAGCCGAACTGAAAGTAGTAAGGCGTTAAAGACTGGGGTCCGACGATGTCAAAACCCGAGTTGTTGAGCGCGGAAATGGTGTGGAACACACCGAAACGGAAAGCGTCGGGTCAACTGCCGTGGGGTGAAATGCCCAGTTTTCCTTCGCTACTAACGCCCGGTTTAGAAGGGTCCATGTCAACCGGCACAAAGTAGAAGTAAAGCGTTAACACGAACGAAAAAAGCAGAATTAAACAGAAAAGAATCGTGATTGAAATTTTGATGATCCGTGGCGAACCGCCGACTTTGTTGCTACCTCGCTCGGTTGAGAGGGTCATGTTAGTGTTGTAAGAAATTGGACGGCGGAGCAAAATGTTGAAGAAGTAAACTTTGAGCGAAAAAAGACCGATACCGCCGGTCAAAATTAAAACTGCAATCACGGCCTGACCAAAGTAACTTCAAGTGCTGTAAGTCGGCACGGTCACCAACCCGGTGTCCGAAAAAGCCGAAGCGGCCACAAAAAGCGCGTCTAGAAAAGTGACCTCAACTTTCTCCTGCTGGGAAATCGGCAAGTACAAAATCAGCGCGCCAACTAAGGTAGTTAAGAGGTAAAAAATTAAAATGTGCTTAAAAACCGACAAAGTCCGAAAGCGGTAGATCCGACGGGCAAACCGCTCCTTGAGAGTGATTGGTTGTCCCTTTTGATCGGGGATTTTTTTCATAACCAAAATTATACTTCAAGACTTAGGCAGTATAATTATGGGAGTTTTCCCCGGAGGTAGCGATGAGCAAAAACGTCAACGACATTTGTGTAATCGGCATCGGTCGTTTTGGTCTGACCGTCGTCAAGCAACTAATTGAACTGCGCAAATACGTTTTAGCGATTGACCGCAACAAAGAAAATCTCAAGGAGGTTTCCCGCAACACCAACACGGTTGTGGTTGACGGAACCGACATTGAGGGTTTGCGAGCGGTCGGAATTAACTTGTTTGAAACAGTCATCGTGGCCACCAGCGATAACATCGAAATCGTCGCTTCGCTAATCGAACTGGGCGCAAAAAACATCATCGCCAAAGCCAAAAGCGCCACCCACGAAAGAGTCCTCAAACACATCGGCGTGGACATCATTATTCGTCCTGAATACGAAGCTGGCATCCGCGCCGCGCTAATTGCCACCAGCACCAACTTCATTAAGTACTCTAAGTCACTCCAAGAGATCGGCGATGGCTATGCGATTGGTTCGACCGCCCTGCGGAACCGCGACTGGATTAACCGACCGCTCAAAAATCTCAAGTTTAACAAGCTCGGCGTCTCGGTCGTATCGATCAAACGCGGGCCAAAAGTCCACTTGCCATCGGGCAACGTTACGCTCGGAGCCGATGACTTAATCACCGTTGTGGGTAAAATCTCCAACATCGTTAACGCCTTTGGCGAACTTAACGCTGAGCACGACGCCAGTCCGACCGCCGCTCTACCAAGCAGCCGCATTCCCGACGTTAAAATTAAAGTTTAACTAATTAGCGGTAAACGATGATGGCACCCGGGTTACCCCGCTCAAACTCCCAGTTGCAACCCTCCTCTTCAAGGTGATCAACCACAACTTGGCGAATAACTTGGCCCCGCCCGACGACTAACTTAATTTGCCGGTAGTGGGCGTTGTTAGTTAATTCCAAAAGCGCCAAAGTCACTTTGCTGACCGCTTGGTTAACGTCTAATTCGTGAAAATCGTAAGTTTTCAAAATCATAGGTATCCTATCAGAGTCGCCAGGTACGCGCCGGGCTACTCAAACTTGACCGCTCTTTCGCGGTCGGTGTGAAAGTAGGCTGATCCAATCTTTTTGCGCAGTTTGAAAATAATTTGGTCAACCACGCGGGTCGTGTCACCGCCCCGCACGTATTTTCAAACTTGGTTAAAAATTTCGTTTTTGCCCACGTGCTGACGGCGGCGTTCCAAAAGCAACTTTAAAACTAAAAATTCTTTGCGCGTTAAGGAAATTTCTTTGCCGTTCAGCGAGACATAACTGTCAATAAAATCGGCGATGATGCCGCGGTAAATGACGGTCGTCGGTTTGGAATAAATTTCCCAGTAACGCCGCAAGAGAGCGATCGTCTTTCACTTGACTTGCTCAAAACCTTGGCTAAGATGAATAATGTCGTCGGCCAGCGATTTAAAAACGTGGATATCGCTGCGATCCGGTGAACGTTTGAGGACTACGTAACTGAAAGATTGGTTAATCTTTTTAAAAGCGTCCCAGTAGTGCAGTTCAAACTGGTCAAACGACTTGCCGTCAAGAAACAAAAAATCAACGTGCTGGTTTAAATAAGTCGCTAGTTGACCGGGATCGGCCACGGCGTGATCGACGTTAAAATATTTGTCCCAGGCGGTGGCGACTTGGCGTCATTCGCGGGCTAAATCATCGTGAATTAACGAGACAATTTTAAGTTTGGAAAGACTGGCGCTTGACATTGTCTACTCATTATAAGCAAGTTGCTCTTCTTTGTCAACCAAATTAGCAGCCTGGGCGAGCGCAACCGAAAAGAAGCTCGTCACACCGCGTTTTTGCATGGTTGCTCCGAAAAGTTTGTCAACTTTGGCCATCGTTCCCACCCGGTGGGTGACGACGATAAACTGGGTTTTATCTTTTAACTCTTGGAGGTAGTCGGCAAAACGCACCACGTTGGCTTCGTCTAAAGCGGCCTCAACTTCGTCGAGAATGCAAAGCGGCAGCGGCTGGGCTTTTAAGATGGCAAACAAGAGCGAAATTGCGATCAGCGCTTTTTCACCACCGGAGAACAAGTTCAAATTGCGAATCGTTTTACCGGGCGGCTGGGCAATCACTTCGATCCCCGTTTCCAGTAAGTTGCTGGGATCGCTGTACTTGACCTCGGCGTGACCCCCGCCGAACATAATTTTAAAAATGCCATCCATTTCGCGGTTGACCGCGCTGACAGTTTCGTCAAGACGGGTAATGATGACTTGGTCCATTTGGTTAATCGCGCTCATGATCAGTTCCTGAGCTGAGTTAAGTTCGTCCTCGTTTTGCTTAATCTTTTCAAACCGTCCGTTGATCTCTTCGTAGTCGGCAATCGCGTCCACGTTGACTGGCCCAAGCTCTTTGAGTTCGCTCTTCAGACCTTTGACGATTTCCCGCGCTTGTTCGGGTTCAATCGTTAGCTTTTCGGCTTCTAAAGCCGCTTCAAAAGTCATTTCGTACTCCTCGGCCAAACGTTGGCGGGCGTTTTCCAAAATGAACTCGGCTTGGTTTTTGGTGTTGAGTTGCTGACTGGATTTTTCGAGCAGTTCGCGCAGTTCGCGTTCAAGTTCGTTCTTAGTCGTGGTTAAGCGACCGAGCTCGTGGTTAAGAGCGATGGCCGTTTCGCGCTTAGCTTTGATCAGCGCCAGCAGAGAACTGCGCTGCGATTCAAGTTGAATTAAGTCTTCGTCGATTTGATCGCCGCCGTCTTTAGCGACAAACTGACGACTAGTCAGCGTTTCGTACTGAGTTTTGAGCAAGTTGTACTGCGACTGCTGGATCGAAATTTTCTCGCCCAATTTAGCTAACTCAAGGTGGTTAGAGGCGATCAAACTTTGTTCTTCTTGCTGACGGTCTTGCAAAAGACTAATCTCGCTTCTTAACTTGTTAATGTCTTTTTCAAGCGAAGGCACTTGCGATTCAAAGTGGTCAATTTGCTGCTCCAAGCCAAGCAGATTCAAAGAGCGTTCCTGGTGTCCACCGGTCATCGAACCGCCCGGACGAATGATGTTGCCATCAAGCGTCACGATCGGGTAAATCTGGAAAAGTCGGTACAGTTCGCTAGCGCTTTCGATCGTGTCGGCGACCAAAATGTGTCCGAGTAAATAATCAACTAAGGTGGCGTACTTGGGCTGGGCCTCAACCAGCGAACTGCCGAGCGCCACAAAACCGCTTTGCTGACTGGCGATTTGCTGGTGTTCAGCACGAATGCTCTTGGGTTTAATCACTTTCAACGGCACGAACGAAGCTCGACCAGCCCGGTTTTCCTTGAGAAAGTTGATCGCCTTAATCGCGTCTTGCGGATCGTCAACCACTAGGTGTTGGAGCGCGTTTTGTAAAACTGTTTCAATCGCGGTGCGGTGCTCGGGTAAAACGTTGATTAAATCGCACACCATTCCGTGCAAACCACTAAAAATTTGGCGGTTTTGGAGAATCGTTTTAACACCTTTAAAAAGGTTTGACTTGTGGTCGCGCTGGTCCTTTAAAATCGCCACTTTTGATTTTAAAGTCAACAGTTCGGTTTGATTTTGGTCAACTTGAACTTGGTTGGCGTAAACATCGGCTTGAATTTCACGGATGATCCGGCGACGGTCTTCAACTGTTTCTAGGTGCTTAGCCTCAAGACGCTGAAAATTTTGGATCGTCTGGGCGATTTGGTTGAGCTCTTCGTCCAGGGCGCTAATTTTTTCCTCGCGGGGCGCTTCGATTTGCCCGCCGATCATTAACTGACGTCGCTGACTAGCGACCGAATCACGGACGGCAACTTTTTCCAGTCTTTCTAAAAGCGCTTGGTTTTCGGTTTCAAGCGCGTGAATTTCGTTGTCAAGTTCCAATTTACGCTGGGTTTTGTAAGTTAGATCTTCCTCGCTGACTTGCAAACGGGTTTGCAAATCAGAACGACTCGTTTCCACGCCGCTTAAGTGAGCGCTCAGTTCAATTAGTTTGCTTTGGTAAAAGGCGATGTCTTGGGCTAAAAGCGCGATTTCCACGGCCTTTAACTCCTGGCGCTTCGCTAAGTAAAGCCGGGCTTTTTCGGCTTGACGTTTGAGCGGTCGCAGTTGGCGTTCTAACTCCTGGGCGACAGCCCGGACTTTCTCAAGCGCTTCGGTCGTTTTTTCCAGCTTACGAAGTGCCTCCAACTTGCGGGCTTTGTACTTGGCAATTCCGGCCGCTTGTTCAAAGAAAAGACGTCTTTTTTCGTTGCTCGCTTGGGCGATGTCTTGAACCGTGCCCTGGGAAATAATCGCTAGGGAAGACTTAGCCATTCCCGATTCAAGCGCTATTTCGCGGATGTCGCGCAGACGAGCGCTTTCACCGTTAATGAAGTACTCGCTCGTCTGGCCGCGTTTGAGCGAACGCGTGATCGTAAACTGCTCGTGGGGAATTGAAACGCGTTTTTCCCGGTTGTCAAAAGTCAGCGAAACGTAAGCTTTATCGAGGGCGGCAACCGTTTTAGAACCCGAGAAAATCACGTCTTCCATCGAATCGCCGCGCAGCGACTTAGCCGACATTTCGCCGAGCACCCACTTAATCGCGTCGTTAATGTTTGATTTACCCGATCCGTTCGGCCCGACTACTCCGACTACTCCGCCGTCAAAAGTCAAAACGACTTTATCAGCAAACGACTTAAAACCTTGCGTTTCAACTTTGATTAATCGCACGTTAGTCCTCTATTTCCCGGTTAATACGTTCCAGCGCCTGGCGCGCAGCTTCAACTTCGGACTGTTGACGGGTTTTGCCTTTGCCACGTCCGAGCACTCGGCCATCACATTCAATTCTAGTGTAAAAAACCGCTTTTCGCGTCGTGGTTTTGTAACCTCACGTCCGGGCTTGCTGACGCTGTAAATACTCTTGGAGCAAAGTTTTGGGGTTTTTCAATTCTTGCCCCTGCAGTCCGGCGATTTGGGCGCTCAGCACCCGGTCTAAAAAGTGGTTGCTCGATCGGCTACCTTTGTCTAAGTAAAGAGCAGCAATAAAAGCTTCAAAAACATCGGAAAGAATTTTTTCGTTCTGTCCTAAGTCTTGGGCTTTGGGGGCAAAGCGAATCTGGTTCTGAAAATTAAGTTTGCGCGCCAAAGCACCGAGGTTAGCCCAGCTGACCACCGAAGCTTTTAAAATCGACATTTTTCCTTCGCTGAGTGGCGGAGTTAGCCGGTAGACTCGGCGCGCTACGTAAAGACTAATAATCGCGTCGCCTAGAAACTCTAGTCGCTGGTAGTTTTCGGTTTGGCCCTTTTTGTTGGTAAACGAAGGATGGGTGAAAGCTTGCTCGTAAAAAAGCATCTCGCGCGGTTTGATCCCCAGTTTACCTAAGAACTCGCGCAAACTCATTAAGCAAACACCCCGCCAAACTTAGCCAGGTAATCTTCTTCCAGCGCGCGGGCCAAACGACTGAGCGCGCTTAAGTAGGCTTGCTTATCGGAATTGCCGTGGGTTTTGACGGCTAAGCCATTAACGCCGATCACCCAGGCTGAACCAACGTTGCGGTAGTCAAACTTTTGCTCCACTCTTTTGAATGCTTTCCGAACTAGCAGTCCGCCGATCTGAGAACTCAGACGACTTTTGAGCTCGTTTTTCAAAACCTTTTTAAAAGCCAGCGCGGTTCCTTCCATCGCTTTTAAAACTAGGTTTCCCCCGTAGCCATCGCAAACCACCACGTCAACTTGACCGTTTAAAATGTCGCGCGGTTCCACGAACCCGACGTAGTTGAGACGAGGCATTTTTTTTAGACTTTGGTTAACGGCCTGGTGAAGCTCGGTTCCCTTGGTCGGCTCGGTGCCAATGTTAAGCACCGCCACCCGGGGGTTTTCAATCGCCAAGATCGTTTTGGCAAAAACAGACCCCATCTTAGCCCACTGCTCAAGCATTTCGCTAGTCGCCACGCTGTTAGCGCCTACGTCAAGCATGACAAAAAACTGGCCCGCGTTAACAGTTGGAATGATCGGCATGAAAGCCGGCCGTTTCAAACCGGGGATGCGTTTAAGGCTCAGCGTCAAAGAACTGAGATAAACGCCCGAGTTACCCGGTGAAATCACCGCGTCGGCCGCGCCGCTTTTGACTAACTCAATCGCTACTTGCATCGACGTTTTTTGGCGGCGCACCTGTCGAACGTTCGCTTGACCGCTGACGCTGAGCGGAACATCGACGATTTTGATGCGTTCGTTATCTTTGACGTACTTATCAATCTCTTTGCGATCGCCAACTAGGTAAAAGTAGTAGTCAAGGTTGTGTTGGACAAATTCGACCACGGCTTCTGCGGCCGGCCGCACCCCGTGGTCATTGCCCATCACATCAAAAGCTATTTTGCGCATTTTTCTCCTTGCTTACTCAAAGGAAATTAAAAAGTCGTAGATACGTTGTCCGCCCTTTTTAATTTCCACCACCGCGTTGTACTTACTTTCCACGTAGACGGCTACTTCTTGGGCGTCGGCTTCGGTCGCATCGGCGCCGTACCAGATGGTGATGATTTCCGTGTCGTCGTTAACCAGTTTGTCGACGATCCGGCTAGCCGCCTCAACTTTAGATTTAACCGCTGCCACCACTTTGCGCTCAGCGATCGCTAGGTACTGCCCTTTTTTAATGGTAACTTTGTTAAGTTTACTGTCCTTAATGGCGATGCTGACTTGGCCAGTCAAAACTTCTTCGACGCCCTCGAGCATTAACTCCTGGTTTTCCTCAAGCGAATTAGTCTTGTCAAAGTTAAGCATGGCCGTGATCCCTTCCATTTGTGTTTTGGTCGGAATAATGATGATGTTCTTATCGCGGATCGTTTGGATCACTTGCTGAGCGACGAGAATGATGTTGGAGTTGTTGGGCAAAATGATGATGTTTTGGGCCTTAATCTGGTCAATCGCAGCCAAAAAATCGCGGGTGCTAGGGTTGTTAGTTTGACCGCCCTCAATCACATGGGCGCCCAAGTCTTTCATTTCGGCGATAATGCCGTGACCATCGTTACAAGAGATGACTTCGATCGCTTGGTCAGCCGGCAGATCGTCTTCGCCCAGACGACTCGGAACGTGACTTTTTTGACCTTGGGAAAGGTTAGCTTGGAGCGTCATGTTTTCCGACTTGAGTCGGAGAAATTCACCCCAGCGCTGAGCGTAGTTAAAGACGCTGCCCGGCGTCGGCGTGTGAACGTGGACTTTGACGATTTCTTCGTCGTGGACGACCACGATCGAGTCGCCCAACTTGCCCAGACCGTTTTCAAACGCGCGCTTGTCAAAGTTTTCCGGTTTTTCAAGCTCAATCACGCACTCGGTGCAGTAGCCAAACTCGCCCTCGTAAACTTGGTTAGCCCCGTGCAAAAACTCGCCGCTTGAAGTTGACTGATCCCAGTTTGGACTTTGGAGCGCGACCGGTTTACCTTCCAAAGCCCGCAAAATACCGGTCAAAAACAAAACCAGCCCTTCGCCGCCCGAGTCGGTCACACCGACTTCCTTAAGAATCGCCAGAAGATTGGGAGTTAGATCGCAAGCTCGACGCGCTTCTTGCACGGCGCTGCGGAAAAGATCTCCGAAAGTGTGGGCGTGGGTAACGGTTTTTTCTAGGTGCTCTGCCACCATGCGAATAATCGTCAGCATCGTGCCCTCAACTGGTTTCATGACCGATTTGTAGGCGTGTTTTTGAGCCTGGATAAACGCCTCCACGATTTGAAAGTTAGTTGCGCTGGTCACGCCGTCTAGAGCGACGGAAATGCCTTTGAAAATTTGCGAAAGAATCACGCCCGAGTTGCCTCGGGCTCCTAGCAAAGCGCCCCGGGCGAAACGCTTAGTTAACTCGCCGATTGATTTAAATTCTTGGTTCTCAATCTCGCTTAATCCCGACTTAACCGTTCCCGCCATATTCGAACCTGTGTCGCCGTCGGGAACGGGAAAAACGTTAAGTGCGTCAATTTTATCGCGGGAATTAATCAGAGCGTTGGCTCCGGAAATGAGCGCTTTTTTAAATTGAACGGCGCTAAGTTGGCTCATTAGCTGACTCCTCGGACGTAAATGTCAATTTTATCGCAGTTGACTTTGTTAGCCTTAAAAAGACTGACCAGTTGACCAACCAGTTCTTTGCAAATCGTTTTAACCCGGGTGTTACGCATGACAATGATCGCTAATTCAAAGTGATTTTGGTCGGCAATTTTGCGAAAAGCGAACCCTTTCGCGTAACTGCGAAGCGGTAAATTAACTTCCTTGGCGGCAAAATCTAGGTTAGCGAAAGTTGCTATGCCAGGGACGCTCGTGATTACTTTGTAAATGTCAAGGTTAAGTTTACTCATGGAGGTACAACAAGCAAATTATACCCAATCTGGCGACCCCGTTTGGTATAATGATCTTACCTTTGGTCGCAGTTAAGACCAGTTTAAAAGCACTAAGTAAGGAAGAAATAATGGCACGAAAAGACGCAATCACCGGCAAAGGAGCTATGTCAGGCAACTTACGTTCGCACGCGATGAACGCTTCGCGGCGTAAGTTTGAACTTAACCTCCAAAAAGTAACCGTTGTTGAAGGTGGTCAGAAAAAAACTTTGCGTGTCAGCGCTAAAACAGCCAAGACTTTGAAAAAACAAGGTCGCGTCGCTTAGTTTTCCGGTTCTAAAAATTTGTTAATCGCTTGGTAATCGGGTGCTACCTTTAAATCTTGGTTAACGCTTAAACTCGCCACGCGCTGGTCGGCATCAATTACCATTAGCCCCCTTAAGAGCATCGATTCGTCGTCCGTTACCAGTCCAGTTTGGCGAGCAAAATCGCGCATTTTAGCGTCGGAAAGCAAAGTTAAATTTTGGACTTGATGTGCCTCCAACCACGCTTTGCCCACGCTAACTGGGTCAAGCGAAATAGCGACAAATTTTTCACCCGGGTACTGACGCGCTAATTCACTAATTTTTAAAGTTTGCAAATCGCAAACTTGGGTGTTTAGTTTCGGAAAAAACGACACGAACAAACGTTGCTTGAACTGCCGCGAATCAAATTCTCCCGTCGGAACCATTTCCGCCTTAAAACCAAACTTATCACCGACTTTTAACCGCTTGTCTGACATCTGAAACACTCCTTGCTCTTTGAAAGAGCCCCGCCTTAATTATACTTTTTGGCTCGCGTAACTAGTTAACTTACTCGCCGCAGCTCGGTCAAGCAAGACCGTGACGTCGGCGTGGTTTTGCAAAGCAGAGGCGGGCACTTTTGGGTTGATGGGACCTTCTAAACTAGCTTTGATCGCGGTCGCTTTGCTTGCACCCGTCGCGACCAAAATTATTTTGCGAGCTCTTAAGATCGTGCCGATCCCCATGCTAATCGCTTGGCGCGGCACGTCGGCTTGGCTCGGGAAAAACCGCGCGTTAGCTTTGATCGTTGATGCGGTTAAGTTGACTACGCGGGTCAGACTGTCAAACGCGCTACCCGGCTCGTTAAAGCCGATGTGGGCGTTTTGACCGATTCCGAGCAGTTGGCAGTCCAGCCCCTGACCGAGCGCTTTTTCGTAAGTTGCGCTGGTCTTGATCGGATCGCCAGTTGGATCGGGCAAATGGGTCTTGTTCGGACTCAGATTGACGTGCTTAAAGAAATTTTCGCGCATGTAGTGGTGGTACGAAAGCGGATGGTCAATCGCTAGTCCTAAGTACTCGTCTAAATTAAACGTTTCAATTTGCGACCAATCGGTTTTGTGAAGTTGGTGAAGTTGGACTAGACGGGCGTAAATGCCGAGCGGAGTTTGGCCGGTCGCTAAACCGATCCGAGCCTGCGGATGACGGCGGACAAACTGGTCCAGTAAATTAGCTCCGTAATGGTCAACTGCGCTGGCAGTCGGTAAAACGATTACTTGCACGGCGCCTCCCTGCGTTTTTTTTCAAGCGCCCAAAAGGCAGCTCCCAACATGCCCGCGTCGTTACCAGTCTGAGCCAGAAGAATTTTAGTCGAGCGACTGATGAAGGCGAGTTGGTTTTGCTCAACTAAGTTAGCCAAAAGACGCCGGAACGGTTCGCCCAGCGCCGAAGCGCCGCCGCCGATGATGATCGCCTCGGGATTAAGGGCCGTTTCCATCGTGGCGATGTGATGGGCGAGCGGTGTTAAAGACGCGCTTACAACGGCGTCCACTTTGCGATCGTGGCCGAGCAAATTTTTAATTTTTCTTAAACTGCTCGGTAAGCCTGCCGCCTCAAGGGCGCGCTCGATACCGAGCGCCGAAGAAACGGGTTCGATGCAATGTTTTAAACCGCAGGTGCAAGGCACTTGGTTTTGAAAATTACCGCCGTGACCGAGCTCGCCCGCGTAGCCTTGGTGTCCGTAAACAAGCTGACCGTTAACAACTATCCCGCCGCCAATCCCAGTCCCAATCGTGTAGAAAATGATTGAATCGTAGTGGGCGCCGGCTCCGCGTCAAAACTCGCCTAAGGTCGCGGCGTTAGCATCGTTGATGACTGCCACCGGACCCTTAAAAGGCACGTCGGCCCGGAAATGTTTGAGCACGTCGTAATCACGCAGTTGCAAGTTGCCCGACCAAGTGACGATCGATTTTTGGTGGTCGACAAAACCTGGGATGGAAATTCCGACCAAATCAACTTTCTCCCAAAGTTGAGCGGGCAGTTTTTGACTGAGCGGCTCGAAAAGGATCGCGCAATCGGTGTTTATTTCGTAGCGCTCGGTAATTTGACCGTTTTCCACCAGACCGACTTTGGTGTAAGTGCCGCCGATGTCAATCCCTAAGACCCGCATAACTGACCCCGCTTGTAAACAGCTTTGATACTTAAGTCGCGCTTTAAAACGACTAAGTCGGCGTAGTAACCGACTTTGATTTGGCCGACTCGCTCAATTTTGTGAGCCTGAGCGCTAGTGTGGGAACTCATGGCGACCGCGTCTTGCCAAGAGTAGCCTAGTCTGATTAAGTTAACAAAGGCGTCGTAAAGACTGGTCGCCGAACCAGCGATAGTTTGACCGTCGGTCAATGTGATGCGGCCTGCCTTTTTAACGATCGCAAGGTGGCCTGACACGCTTGGACCGTCGGCTAAACCGGCCGGACGAATCGCGTCGGAAACTAACATAACTCGCTCGGGACGCTTAGCTAAAACGCTCAGACGCAACGTGACGGGATCAACGTGGCAAAGATCGCCGATGATCTCGGTGTAAACCGCTGGGTTTACCAAGGCCGCGCTGACTAGACCCGGTTGACGGTTGTGAGCTCCCGACATAGCGTTCCAAAGGTGGGTGACCTGGTTAACGCCTAGTCCAAAAGCTTTTTCAGCTAGTTCGGCGCTGGCGTTTGAGTGCCCTAAGGCTGGCAAAATGCCTCTTTTTAAAAACGTTTGGACAACCTTTTTTAAATCACCGACGACCTCCGGCGCGAAAGTAATTTTGCGAACTAGACCGCGGCTAACCTTGTCTAACTCGGCGATTTTACCAGCGGTTGGTTTGAGCAAATAGGCCGGGTTGTGAGCACCTTTTTTGAGCGGACTGATGAACGGACCTTCCCAGTGCAAACCTAGGCAAGACGGTGATTTTTTTGCGTAAGCACTAATGCGAATGGCGATCTTAATTAGCTCGTCCCAAGGCTGGCTAATCACGCTCGCTAATCAACTAGTCGTGCCGCGCAGCGCCAAACTTTGGTCAATTTTTTCAAGCGCCTCGGTCGAATCGCACACGTCATAACCGCCCCAGCCGTGAACATGAGTGTCAATAAAACCGGGTACGACGACTTGTTGTCCTTGACCTGGTTTAGTGACGATCTGGGTGATGATACCGCGCTCAAACACCAAGTCAGCGTTGTCAATTCGCTCGTCGTAGTTAATGAGCGTCACGTTAGTTAGGCGGGGCACCGTTCACCTCCCAACTGGGCAAACGGCGCGCCATTCAACGCACGCGCTTGTTGACCAAATTAACGAACGTGTTGATCAAAGTAATTTGGTCGTGAATGCGAATCACGTAAGTGGCCGGATGGCCTTGGAGACCGAACTTAATACCGTAATTTTCAAACGTTAAACGAACCATCTGGCGGTACGAAAAACTGAGGTGAGTTTGGGCGTTGGTAACGATGAAACGGCGACTAGTGATCAGGAGCTCACCCTTGAGAAGCGCGACCAAACGACCAGCTTTTTTGACTTGGTAAAGCTGACCGCCTAAAAAACGGGCGGCGGCAAACTCTTTCTTGTAAAAGGGAAAGTTAACGTCCAAAACTTTGATGTGCCGAAAAGTGGAGAACACTCGCTCCTCGATTAAGTTGAAGTTGTGCTGCTCGAGTTCGCTGAGACTAAGTTTGAGTTTACGGATTAAACGTTTGAGTTGACTAAGAAACGCTTCGCTGTTTTGGTCTTGGCGCCGAATCCACTGCTCAAGCACTTGGTGGAGGTATAGGTCAACTAGTCGCGGCGATTCGCGGCGGAAAATTTTCCATAATTTCCAGCGACTGAGACTCTCGATCGTTTGCCAGTTAACCCGGTCGCCGTACTCAATCATCCACAGCCTTTGACTCACTTGACCGAGCTTTTGTTCTACCATGCTACTCGCTGACGTTCTTACCTAAGTTGTGGAAAACTTGCTCGCCTTCGTAACGGGCAGCTGGTCCGAGCATTTCTTCAATCGCGAGCAAGCGGTTGTACTTAGCCACCCGGTCGGTTCGCGAGAGCGAACCGGTCTTAATTTGCCCCGTGTTAAGCGCGACGGCTAAATCGGCAATGGTTGTATCCTCGGTTTCGCCCGAGCGGTGCGAAATTACCGCGCTCATGTTAGCCTTATGAGCGATTTCAATCGCTTGGATCGTTTCGGTAACGGTCCCGATTTGGTTGAGTTTAATTAGGATCGAGTTGATCGCGCGGTTGCGAACGGCTTTTTTCAAAATGTGCGGGTTAGTGACGGTCAAGTCGTCGCCCACGATTTGAATCACTTGACCGAGCTCGCTGGTAAAGTGTTCAAAACCAGCCCAGTCGTTTTCAGCTAGACCGTCTTCGATTGAAATGATGGGAAATTTGGCCACCAAACGTTTTCAGTAGTTAACCATTTCTCCCGACGTAAAGCGAGTTTTAATGCCCGAGAGACGTTTTTTTTCAAAATTAGGTTGACGGTTACGAATCGCTTCCTCGAGCTTTTTAAACCGGTAGTAGTGACCGTCGTAAAACTCCGAAGCAGCCGGATCGAGCGCGATCGCGATCGCTTTAGGTCCGCGACGACTTGGTTTGTAGCCGGCCTCACGAATCGCTTGCACGAGCAACTCAAGCGCTTGTTCGTGGGAATCTAAGTTGGGAGCAAAACCTCCTTCGTCGCCAACTAGCGTTCCGTAGCCCGCTTGCTTAAGGATTTTGGCTAAGGTGTGAAACACTTGGTTGGCCATTTGAAGCGCTTCACGGAACGTCTGAGCTCCGATCGGCATAATCATAAACTCTTGAATGTCGAGCGTGTTTGAGGCGTGGGCTCCGCCGTTAATGACGTTGAGCATCGGAACCGGCAAAAGGCTAGCGTTGACGCCGCCCACGTACTGGTAGAGCGGCAAACCTCTTTCGTCGGCGCTGGCTTTTAAGTTGGCGAGCGAAGCACCTAAGATTGCGTTCGCGCCCAGCTTAGCTTTGTTAAGCGTTCCGTCGAGACCAATCAGCGTTTGGTCAACTAGAATTTGGTGGGAAGACTCGAGTCCGATCAACCTAGGACCGATCACCCGGTTAACATTTTCCACCGCGACGCCAACGCCTTTACCACCGAACCACTTTTTGCTCAAACGGCGTGCCTGGGCAGTTTTAACCATGCCGTCCCTTAGTTCAACCGCCTCTAACTGACCGGTTGAAGCTCCCGAGGGAACCATCGCCGATCCGTAACCACCAGCCTCAGTTCAAATTTCAACTTGCAAAGTCGGGTTACCCCGAGAGTCCAACACTTCGCGGGCGTGGACTTGCTTAATTGCCGACATTTTCGCTCTCCTTGCCTAAAAAAGTTAAGTTCATTATAGCATTTGTCAATCGGGCTACCAGTCGCTAGAAACAAACTAAAAGAGTCTAGCGCTCCGCTAGACTCTCAAAGTTAAAAACGAGTTAAGTCTCGATTTGGCGCGCCACAAATTTTTGGCCTTCTTCGGTTTGAAGAGCGGCGTCTACTTGCGTCTCAGCCAATTTGTCACGGCGGTTAAGAATTAGCACGAACGGCGTGTAAATAACCATCGCCACTAGGAGGTTGACTAGCGCCAGTAGAACGGCCCAGAGCGAACCGCCGGTGGCGATAAACGCGCCGGCTCCGATCGGCATTGTTCATGGGATGAGCACTTTGACCGGAGTAACTAGTTTGAGCACTCCGATGCCAACCCAAGTCGTCACCACTAAAATCGGCATCGTGATGAAAAGCGGGATGATTAAGTACATGTTCAGCACCAGCGGGTATCCGAAAGTAACTGGTTCGTTAATTTGGAAAATACCCGGCGCAACCGAAAGACGGGAAATTTGGTGTTGGGAAGAATTTTTGCGCCCGAAAATTAGCGTCGCTAAAATCAGCGCTAGAGTCGCTCCCGATCCCCCGATAAAAATAAAGGCGTCAAACGTTCCTTGCACGAAAACGTGCTGTTGAATGCCGCTCACGTTTTGAGCGTAGAGCAACAGTCAAATCGGGTTGAAAACCCCGTTGGCAATGTTGGCTCCGTGGAGACCAAAAAACCAGAAAAACGAAATGATAAAAACGTAAAGAATCGCTAAACCTAGCGCTGCTCCGGCGCGAGAAGCGATTTCTAGAAACGGCGCCACAACCATCGCGTAAATAAACGAAGTCAAAGTGACGTCGCCCGTGAGCGGTTTAGTGCCCAGTGTAGTCGTGTAGTCACCTTTTTGGAAAGCTCCGATCGCTTGGCCCATTAAGTCGCCTTGCGGGTCTACCGCGGTAAAGCCTTGGAAAGAGTGGTCGGCAATCAGACGGGCGAATGTGGCTTGGTCCGGCGCTGCCACCAGTTGGTCCCAAAGCGCTTGGTCAACGTTAGTAAAGTGCTCGGAACTAAGACCGAGTCCGACCAAGGCGTCAAACTGCTGTTTATTCAGAACCAAGTCTCGTTTGAAATTGACTTGCAAAGAAGCACCTTCTTTGAGTTCAATCCCCGTGAAGTAAAAAGGTACCCAGACGATCAGGTTAATTGTCGCCGCTAAGACAATCGTCAAAATGACCGGGAATAGTTTGGCAAAAGCGCGCGAAATAGCCGGTGGTACGCCTTGAGGCATCTTGATCGACAGCCGGTCGTTCTTGGAGAGAAAACAGAAAAACTCGGCGCAAATCATGCTGATAATAATCGCGGTTAAAAGACCGCGCGCACCCAGTCAGTACATTCCGCTTTCCCAAGTGCCGCTGATCATCATCGAAGTCACGCTTAAAAAGCAAGCTAACGTGGTGAGTCCGCAAATCGTCGGCGTGCTGTTGTTCTTAGCTTGAGCTAAGAAATAACCGACTCCGAACGCGATGTAAAGCGACATGACGTTAATCGTGCCGACTTGAACGTAGAGCATCCAGTAGCTCATGACGGTTAAAAATTTGTAATAAATGCCCTGCTGGCTAATCGTGAAATTTTGGAAGTGCAGTCACCAACCTGAAACGGCCCCTTGTCCGCCGGCGGGCGAGAAAATGACCGAACGTCACAAAACAGCCATCGCTCCGGCGATAATAACCGGGGTAAAAATGGCAAAAGCATCCCGAATCGTAGCCAGGTGGCGCTGGTTACCTAACCGAGCCATGGAAGGTAAAAAGCGGTCTTGAAATCAACTCTTTTTCATATTGAAGCGGTTTTAAACCGTGTTCATCACGAACACAGCCACAATTACAAGCGCGATTAGCGCTAAGCCAAACACAAGCTTGTAAACGTAGAAAAAAGCAAAACCGCGTGGTTCCTCCCTCCAACTAGCGAGACGCCCATTAAAATGAGTAACGAGTGCGATCAAAATTTGAAGAGCGATCAAAACAAAACCGCTGATCCAAATTGTTCAGCCTAAGACGCGGTAGTTTAACCGCGGCTCTAAACTGTACGCCGCTCCGGCCAAAAACGCCAAAACTAGGCCAACGATAAACAGGCTCGTTACTAATCCACTCGTCTTCTGCAAAAACCGAGGAATTAATGGCATCTTATCCTTTCTCAAATTCAACTTAAAATTTGCGTAGTTTGTTTACAACTACCCCACCATTATAAACCAACCAATTTTGACCTTTTTAAACTGGATTTGTTTTCGGTTGGCCTTGGCCTGAAACGAGTTTAATCAATCCCAAAAACAGTTTTAACACCGGCGCGGTAAAGTTAAAAATCCGACCGATCTTGACCGCTTGACCGCCCTAGTCTATAATTACCCTAGTCACCCATGGAATTTGCCAGCAACTTTTTTCTAATTGTTTCGGGATTATCGATCGCGATTTGACTAATGTTTTGAACGATGATCCGTTGGAAAAGACGCATTTACAACCAGAACCAAACTTGGTATTCGCCGGTTTGGTGAACTTTACTTAGTCTCAGCGCGGTTAGTTTTCTACTGGCCTTAACTTTGTTCTACTTGCGCTAGTCCCGCTTTGGCAAACTTGGTTGAGATACTTGATCATCGCACGCGTTTGGTTGCGGTGATCGCGTTTAAAACGAAACTGTCCTAGTTTGCCGTTTAAACCGGTGATGGTGTGTTCGTTTTTGATGGTGTGAATAAAAGTGACCTTGGTGTACTCTTGACCAACCGCTTTAAGTCGTCAGTAGTGACTGTGAAACTTAGGTCCTTTTTGAAAAACTAACTCAAATTTTTGCGGTTGGCGGTACTGCTCAACGAAAGCAACGTTGCCTTGCCGAGTCACGATTTTCTTGCCTTGGTAAAGTTGTCCCCGGTGGGTCGTGTTTTTCAAAACAGCGGCTAGGACAGCCCGGAAAACTTTTTCGCACGGACCGGCCACGATACCAGAGTGGCTTTTGCTGACTAAACGTTTAAACTCATCGTAAGTTGAGACGTAGACTTTTTTGTTGAACTCAATTTTAAACTGCTGGTAATTTGCGGACATGCTAACTTTATTATAGACCGAAAAAATTACTTTCTAGGCGCCAGACGGCGGTAAAGATCAACCATTTCCTGAACGAGCAAAATCACCGTTTGGCTCGCTAAAAGTTGGTCCTCGGCGTGAATGAACAAAACCCGGTAGGCTAGTTTTTCGCCGTTAGCCTCGGCTTTGATGACGTCAAAATGCCATTTGCTGGCGTCGGCCGAATGTTGGTGAGCCTCGTCAAGCTTAGTTTTGGCCGTGTCAAAATCACCTCTTTTGGCCGCTTGGATCGCTTCCATGGCCGAGCTTTTGGCCTGGCCAGCATCGGTAATAATTCCCAGGGCAACTTTCTCCCAATCAATCCCGTGTTTTTTAATGGTTTGAGCTGCTTTGTTAGACATCAAAACCTCCTTCTAAAATAGTTTTCTGGTACCAAAAAGCCGACTGTTTGAAACGCCTAGTTTGGGTCGCTAAATCAACCTCGATCAAACCGTAGCGGTTTTTGTAGGCGTTTAACCACGACCAGCAGTCAAAAACCGACCAAAGCGTGAAACCAAAACAAGGCGCCCCTTGAGCCAGTGCCTTGTGGAGTCAAACTAGGTGGCGGCTTAAAAAATCAATCCGGTACGAATCGGCGATTTGTCCCGAACGATTCCGGAAAGTATTTTCGTTCGCCACGCCCATGCCGTTTTCAGAGATGTAAAAGGGTAGCCCCGGGTAGTTCCGAGTAACGCGCATCATGACGCTGTAAATGCCCCGGGGCGAAATTTCCCAGCCGCGCGACTTGTTGTACTCGGCGCTGGGTTTTTTTCACGTTTCAAACAAAGTCGCCAAACCGCTTTTAGTTTTGGCTCTAACCGGAGCCCGCACGCGGGTCGGAAAGTAGTAGTTGACCCCGAGATAATCGCACTTAACGCCGGCAATCGTCTTTAAATTTTGCGAAGTTAACTCTAACTTGTCAGCACCTAACTTGGCAAACAGTTTTCGGATCGGTCGACCGATTTTACCGGCTAACATTCCCTCTAACATCCAGCGGTTGTGGAGCAGCTCGTATTGACGGGCTGCTTGGCGGTCACCCGCGTTAGCTCTTTGACGAGGGTAGACCGGCGAAAGGTTAAGTACCACGCCGATTTTAGCGTGGCGTGGTCGCGACTTAAACAGCTTAACCAACTCGGCGTGCAGCAAAATTAAACCGTTTCCAACGTTAAAAGCGAGCTGGTAGTCCTCAACCAAAGGTCAGTGGCACTTGCCGCCCATGTAACCGCAAATCGTTTCCACGATCGGTTCGCAAAAAGTCGCGAAGGCGTAAGTCTTGGCGTCGTACTCCTTAAAAATCAGGGCGGCGTAGTCGAGAAAAGCGGCTCTGACCTCGGCGTTTGATCAACCGCCGACCTTGACCGCTCAAGCCGGCAGATCAAAGTGCGAAAGCGTCATTAGAGCTTTGATTTTGTGCTTGGCGAGGCGCTCAAGAACGTCGTGGTAGAATCTGACACCGGCTTGAGAAAGAGTTTTTCCGTCCGGAAAAAGTCGGGCTCAAGAAAAACTTAGCCTTACCGCGCGGAGACCGATTTTAGCTCACGAAGCGATGTCTTCAACGTAATGGGTGGTAAAGTCGGAAGTAATTTCCGGACCGACCTGGTCAAAAAACTGATCCGGTGCGCTCGCAAAGTGTAAATCCCACTTGGTTTGCCCTTTGCCGGTCTTGCCCCGTCCTTCGCACTGCTCGGCGCTCGTCGCGGCGCCGAACAAAAAACCGCGGGGAAATTTAATTTTTGGCATAGATTTTAAACCTACGTCCACCGACGATCGCCTGGAGCGGGTAAAGATCGTCTAAGACCACCCGTCCGACTAAGTTGCGAATTTTGGAACGGCGGTCGTCAATCGGACGGAGCAAAATGTGGAGCTCGCCTTTGTAACGGCCGATGTTGTCGTTCAGCACCACCACGTCGCCCGGCTGGAGCATTTTACCGGTTCGGGCCGGCTTGATCGACTCGCTCTGGTAAATAACGCGCGTTAAGGTGGAACGAATAAAGTAACTCGAGTAGTCAGCGCGGTTAACGTGCTCAGCTCCGAACGACTCGGCGTAATTTTGAAACTGGGGCTCGGTTAACTTAGCCGCTAATTGACTGGCTAAAACGATTTCCTTTTCTAACTCGCTGACACCCCTTAACCACTCAATTTCAACTTTGACGACTTTTTCAGCGCTCAGGACGTTTCAATCTTGGACTAATTGCCCGAGAGTTTGAAATTCTTGGTTAGTTAAGCCTTGCTGGGAAACGATAATTTGGTCGCTCAAACCGATCGATAAAAAGTGGGCCACTTGCTGAACTAACGGTCAATCGCGGTGTTCTTCCAAAGTCGGCATCCCGTGGTTAACGCCCCAAGGACCAATCGCCCGGCGCGCTGGCTCTTGGCTAACAAAAGTTGCCACCGGTACGCCGAGTTGTTTAATGCGAGCGCTGAGTTCGATGAAACGTTCGTACTTGAGACCGGTGTAGCGAAGCGGATAAAAGTTGTGGCAGGCGATTAAATTCTTGGCGTTTCCGCCGGCGGATAAAATTTTTTCTAACGTTGTTACCCCAGCTGAAGCGTTAACTTCAACTTTGAAATTAAAACGGTTTTGACTAATTTTAGCTTCAACTTGCCCGCCAAAATCTTGGTCCATTCGAACCCCGCCAGCTCCGAGTTTGCGAAAAAAATTGATCTCGGTCGGAGCGAGTTTAAGCGTCTGGTAAACATTTTGGTCAACGTCCACAATCGGGACTAGACCAAGTTTCTGAGCCGTCTGCAAACAGCGCGTCAACATTTTTAAACGTTCAGAATCGCCAGATGTTTCCAGCAAATTAACGAAAACGCGTTTGAAACCCGCTTGAGCAGCTTTTTTTAAGTAAGCTAACGTCGGTTTTTCGCCGGCTTTTTCCGGGTAAATCGCGATTCCTAACTCAACCATCTTAATTACTTAGCGAGCAGCGTACGCACTTGAGCAACCAGGGCCTCTCCGTTAGCAGTCGCGTAAACCATCGGCTCGATCACGGCCACTGGTTTCTCGGGTGCCATCCGCTGAAATTGATCGCGCATAAAGCGGATTTGCGGCCCGAGCAACACTACGTCAAAATCGGCCAGTTTTTCGCGAGCCTGGTCGGAACTGAGCGCCAAGGCGTGACCTTCAATTTTGGCTTCTTTTAAGTAATCGTTCACAGCTTTTTCCAGCAGCGAAGTTGACATTCCGGCTGAACAGGCTAGTAGTATTTTCATAGTTCCCCTTTTCCGACTAGTCGCGACCTATTTTCTAAATTATAAGCGCAAAGATGAGCGATCTAAAACTGGGTCGTTTTTTCCAAAAACAAAAAAATCGCCCGGGCGGGCGAACTGGCTAAACTTGGTTTTGACTTTTGACGAGTTCAATTAACCGCTGGAAAGTGGCCGGCTGGTGAATGGCCAACTCTGAGAGCATTTTGCGGTTGAGACCGATCTCAGCTTTTTTAAGACCGTTAACGAAACGCGAGTAAGTTAGCCCTTCGGGACGCACGGCGGCGTTAATGCGGGCGATCCACAATTTACGAAAGTCGCGCTTAACACGTTTACGGTCGCGGAAGGCGTAAGTTCACGATTTAACCACTTGTTGCTTGGCAACTTTAAAACCGATCGATTTGTGGCCGAAGTAACCTTGGGCCTCTTTGAGTCATTTTTTACGGCGACGCCGGGTGACTGTTCCACCTTTAACACGCATATCGTCCTCCTAAATTAGTTGTTTAAAACGTTTCACATCGGAAGGATCCATCAAGTGGGGTTGGCGTGATTGACGTTTTTGCTTAGTGCTTTTGTTTTGGGCTAAGTGGGATCGGAAAGCTGCTCCGCGTTTAACTTTGTTATTGGCCGTAACTTTAATTCTTTTTCGGAGCGCTTTTTTGGTTTTCATTTTCGGCATTGGGCGACCCCTCCTTCTTACTTTTAGAGACTTTGGTGGCGACAAGGTACATGTCTAGAAAACGACCGTTTGCTAACGCGGGTGGTTTCTGAATTTGAGCCACGTCGGCCACTTTTTGGAAAAATTGGTCTAGTTTGGCGTGACCAAGTTCTTGCCGCACAATTTCGCGACCACGGAACTTAAGCGAAACTTTGACGCGGTCACCGGCCAACAAAAACTGGCGGGCTTTTTTAGCTTTGACGTCTAAATCGTGTTCGCCGATCATGACCGTCAAACGGACTTCGCGGTTATTAGTGAAAGACTGCTTAGCTTTAACTTCCTTGCGCTTCTTGCTGCGGTTGTACTTGTAACGACCGTAGTCAAGCAGTTTGGCCACCGGTTGGTCGGGATTAGCGGAAATAATCACTAAATCCAACCGTTTCTCGGCGGCTAACTCCAGCGCTTGGTAACGTTCCAGAACGCCTAACTTAGTTCCGTCGGCGTCAATCACGAACATTTTTTTAAAGGGAATGTCGCGGTTGACAAGGTGTTCTTTTTTGGGTGGTTTTTTGTTGCGACTTGGATGCACAGACACTTTCTCGTCTCAAACTAGAGACATTGGATGGTAAAAGAGCTTACCAGAGCATCAAAATTTAAGTTGACTTTGATGTTGGAGCGTGGACCCCTGGATTAACCAGCAGGTGAGATGAAAATCTGCTTTCTGCAACACGTAAGTTGCAAGGTAATTCTATCACGTTTTTGGTTAGTAAATGTACAATGTGGTTATGTCAAAAATCATCGAAGTTAATTTAGAAATTCCCCTTCATTCCAACATCAAATACGAGTACGACCGCAAACGTGAAAAAATCGTGGTTGACCGCATTTTACGCGAACCGTTTGTTTACCCAACTAACTACGGCTACGTTGACAAAACGCTCGACTGAGACGGCGATGAGTTAGACGTTTTGATTTACTCGCCCGAAAAATTCAACCCCGGCGTGGTGCTGCGCGCCCGGATTGTCGGAGCGATGCGAATGGTTGACGATGGCGAAATTGACACCAAATTAATCGCGATCCACGCCGATGACTACCGTCTAGATCACATTCAAAAACTGACCGATTTACCGAGCGAATTTTTGAGTGAAATCAAGATTTTTTTCTCAACTTACAAAAACTGAAAACGTCCTAACATTACGAGCGTGGAAGGGTTTGAAAACGAAATTTGAGCGCTCGGAGAACTAGCTACTTGTCAAAAATTATTTGCGGATTACGGCGACTTATCCAAATCGGAATTTATCGCCCAAATGCGCAAAAAACATCCCGATAAATACCCGAAAGAAAAAGCCGTTTAACTAGTTTGATTGAGTTTTTTTGCGAGCCCCAAACCAACGTTTTTTGGCTTGAGAAGGATCGTTTTCAGTGTGTTTGCACTCCGGAAAGCGCGGACAACCAAAGAATCTTTCCCCGGTCCGGCGGTTGGTTTTAACGACCAACGGCGTTTGGCACTTGGGGCAGTCTTTGCCGGCTAACACGGGCAAAAGCTTGGTAATTTCTAACTCGCTGGTCGCGGCGATTAAATCATCGCTAAAGCTGGCTCAAAAACTGTCGAGCAGTTCTTTACGGTCCTTTTTGCCCTCGGCAATTTGGTCCAGTTCTTTCTCAACTTCGGCGGTGTAACTTTCGTTCATAATCCGCGGAAAACCTTGGACTAGTTTGTCGTAAACCACTTTGGCAAACTCAGTCGGTATTAAAGCGCGTTTTTCGACGCTGACGTAGTGACGGTCTTTGAGGACTTTGACAGTGGAAGAGAAAGTTGAGGGACGACCGACACCGATGTTGTCAAGCGTTTCGATCAGCGATCCGTCATTGTAGCGGCCTGGTCCCTTAGTTTCGCGCTCTTGGGGGTGGTAATCGCTGACTTGCAAAGTTTGTCCAAGCTGTCAAACCGGTGCCGGTAACCCAGCTTGCTCGGGTTTGACGATTAAATAACCGCTAAAAATAACCCGACTAGAAGAATGGCGAAAGCGATGGTGGTAAACGGGGTCAATTAGTTCGTAGCGGGTGATTAGGCGCACCGGCGGTTTAATTAAGGATTGCAAAGTGTGTTCGTAAATGAGTTGGTAAAGTTTGCTTTCGGAACTGCTGAGTCCAAAGCGGTCAGTCGCTTGCTTGGGACTCAAGTTAATATCAGTGGGTCGGATCGCCTCGTGCGCATCTTGAGGTCCCGAAAAACCCTTAACATTTTTAGCCACAAACCCAGCGCCGTACTTGCTGGCGATAAAAGTTTGGGCCTGCTCGACAAACCCCTTAGCTAAACGGGTTGAGTCGGTCCGGGGATAAGTGATTAGACCGCCGTCTCCATATCCTTCGTAAAGCCGTTGGGCGCTGCGTTGAACGACCTGGGAAGACATGCCGAGTTGACTATCGGCTCTTTTGTAAAGACTGGCTTGCTTAAGCGGAGTTAGTTGACGGTCGTTTTTCTCGCGCTCAATTTTATCGCTCACTTGAACGGCTTGACTAAGCGATTTAAGCAGAGCTTCGATGGCAGCTGGCTTAATCGAGTAAACGTCGTCTTTCAAAGCCGGATCGGGCGACAAATAACTGACGATCGGACCATCTTTTAAACGCGCTTCCAAAGTGAAATACTTGGTTGGGACAAAGCGTTCGATTTCCCGCTCGCGTTCGACGGTTAGTTTGAGCGCGATTGATTGGACGCGGCCAGCCGAGGGCGCCGAGGGAAAACGACTGATTTTTTGGCGCATTAAACGAGAAAGTTTGTAGCCGATTACGCGGTCTAAAATGCGGCGAGCAGTTTGCGAATCAACCAAAGGCTCGTTGATTTTTTCGGGATGATTAACCGCTTCGAGCACGGCTGGCTTAGTGATTTCGTTGAAGCGAATCCGGTAGTAGCGCTTCGATATGTTCAAAAATTCAACCAGGTGACTAGCGATCGCTTCGCCCTCGCGGTCGGGGTCAGTCGCGAGGTAGATGTGCTTGGGTTTGAGACGCTTAATTTCGCTGACAAGTTTTTGAAAGTATTTTTTCTTCTCCGGATCAATTTTGTAACGCGGAGTCCATGTCGCCATGTCAACGCCGAAATTGTTCTCTCCCGACGAAGGTAATTTCAAAAAATGGCCGACGGTGGCGACAACTTTGTAGTTCTCGCCTAAGTATTTTTCAATTGACTTAACTTTGTGGGGCGACTCGACGATAACCAGGTTTTTCTGCATACAAACTTAAAAATAGCATAAAAAATTGCTTTTTAAATCTTGAAATTATTTTTGTGAATATTTGGCCTAACCACGCTTAAAAGGCTCGGTTAAGTCGTCAAGATGGGCGATCGCCCCACTTCTTCTGACCGCAGTTAAGTCGGCCCGGTGCGCCAATTACTTGAGCAGTTTGAGGACAAATTTTTCCAGCGCCAACTGCTTATCAACTTGGCCTTGCTTAATCGCCAAATCAACCGCGGCAAGTTCAAGTACCAACTGTTTAATTTTTGACGGTCCGACTTGGGATAAGAGTTGTTGCCCCTGCTTGACTTTCCAAAGCGGAATGTGGCTCGCTTCGCTAATCTCGTAGTCAGATTGGCCCAGACTTTTGTGGTAGCTAACTTCGAGCGCTAAAGTTAGCACTTGGTTAATTTGGTGCAGCATAAAAGCTGGGTCATCGCCGAGCTGTTGGCGCGTGCGGTAGGACGAGATAATTTGCTGGTTATCCTGCTCTAAAATAGCCCGGGAAAAATCAAACAAACCGCCTTGGTTTTGGCGGGCAATTTGCTCAACCACCATTTCACGGTCGATTTGCGAGTTAGTTAAAAGTAGCTTGTCAATTTCGCTGACGATCGTTCAAAGATCAAGCGGTAGGCGCAGCGCTAATTCGTGAGCCGCGCTGACGCTGATTTTAGCTTGGCGTTCGCTGACTAGTTGGTTAATCGTTTTAATCACGTTGCGATCGGTGAGTTTGGGCACTTGCGTAACCTCAGCTCTCTGGAGCAGAAAGTTAACCAAGTTATTGCGGTGGTTTAATTTAGCGCTTTCAAGCGCAAAAATGATTTGGTGGTTTCAGTTAGTGCCGATTAAAACTTGTAAAAATTTTTGCCCGAGCGTTTCGTCAACTAGAGCCGGATGGTTGCGGACAATGATCAGTTTCGGGAGACCAAACATTTCGACCGTTACGAGCGCGTCTTGAACTTCTTCCACCGAACTAGTCTCGTCAAACGTAACTAATGTTCCGGTAAACTTTTCGCGGGCCTGGGTCAGTTTCTGACTGATCCAGTACGATTCGCTCCCGTGGATAAATTGCATGGTTCACTAATTATAAGGTAAGCGTAGAGAAGCGTTTGCGCGCTTCAAACTAACTCAGCAGGTGTCTCTCCTAACTTAACGATTCACTGAGCCCTAATTGCGATTTGAACGAGTTGGTCAAGCACTCAGTACAGTCAATCTAAATCGCCCAAACACGGGTAAAGAGCGAGCGTAGCTAAAAAAGCGACTAAAACAAAGGGGCCAAGTCAATAACTTAACAGCGGCGCGCTTAAGTTAAAACCGCCGCCGATTTTGGCGACCAGCGGCAAAGTCGCTCAGTAAGGTCCGAGCGCGCAGAAAATCGCTTTGGTAAAGCGTGATTGGAAGCTTTTTTCCGAGCCGTGAGCCAAGGTCAGGAGGGCCGCGTAAGCAAGCAAAAAACTCCAGCGGTAAATTAACCACGGCCGAGCGATTAGCATCACCAAACTGGCTAGTGTGACAAGACTAGTCTTGCTAACTTTGCATCTCACAAACCGCTTGTTAACTAAGTAAAACGCCAGCAAAATGGTCGCGCGCAAAAACGAATCATGGTAATTAAGTCAGTAGCCGTAAAAAAATAGCGCCGCCCAAACTAACCACTCGACTCAGCCCGAGCGCCAGCCAGTCAGCCCAATCAAACCGACCAGCGATCGCCAAACTAAGCCGATGTGAAAACCGGAAATAACAAAAAGGTGACTTAGGTTGAGCCGGGTTATTTGGCGGTAAAAATCACCCGTCAGGTAGATGTTTTGGCCGGTTAGAAAAAGCGCGGCGTAACGGCCGGTCAAATCTTGGCGGGCGGCCAAATTTTGACCCAGTTGACAAAGCAGCGAATCGCAAGTCAAACTGGGTTCAAGGCGCGGATACCGGATTCAGTGACTAACGTTTTGACCCCGCAAGTAAGCAGTCAAATTAAAAGAGTTACCGACGGTTTGACCCTTGTTAAGGGGTAAAACTAAACCGCGCACTCGCAGCTGGTCGCCGACTCAAAATGTTCCCCGTGCGGGCAGAAAAACCGACCGGCCTTGTCAGCTCACGATCGGCCCCATTTTCGTCACGCCAACGACCTCTAATTCCGTGTCAACTTGAGCAACTAACGGCGCTGACGTTTGGATTCAAAAACTAACCAATAACGCTAGCGCAGCGAAAAATCCCCAAGTTAGAAAGCGGCCTTTTAAAATTGACCAAAACGAAAAGGTCAGCGCGAGCAACGTTATTTCGACTTGCCAAGGGTTAGTCAACCAAACAAACCACAGCACCGCCGTTAGACAAACATTGGTAAAGTCGTAGCGACTCGGCGACTTAAAGCGCGCGTAAAGAGCAGTCATGGTCAATGGTCAACTGTGGATCAATCTCAACTCAGCGATTATTTTGGCGTTGGTAAATCCGTCGGTAAGTCCGTCCCAACTGGTGGCCAAACCGAGCCACAATTTGCTCGGCCGTTTGACCCGGCTCAAAACTGAGCTCCAAGCGGTAGTGGGTCGGACTGCTGAGCGAAACTAAAATTCAATTTCGCTGGCTAGGCTGGTCGGCCAAAATAACGCTTCCCAGCGCAGCGCCCATCCAAGGCAAACTTTTCAGTCCTAAAAGTAAAAATTTAGATCACACCTAAAGGTGGCTCTAAACTTATTTTTTGCGCAAATTTTCTAAGATAGCGTCAATTTTGAGACCTTGCTCCAGCGAAGTGTCAAACTTAAAAACTAACTTTGGTACGACGCGGGGGTTAAGTTGCTGGGCTAACTTAGCGCGTAAAAAAGGGGTGGCGCTTTCCAAAGTCTGCTCGGTTTGACGCTTCTGACTCAAAGTCGTGTAGTAAAGCTCCAAATGAGCCGCATCGCCCGACAGTTTCGCGCCGGTTAAAGTCAAGTTTTTCAAAACAGCGCTGGATGTTTCGTCGTGCAAAATGCGCGCTAAAGCGTGGAAAAAACGGCTTTCCTTACGTTTGTGGTTGATCTTATGGGCCATCTAACTCTCGACTTCAACTTGTTCGTAAGCTTGGATCACGTCGTCAACTTTGATGTCGTTGTAATTGGCGAGATGAGCACCGCACTCAAAACCTTTTTCGACTTTACGAACCGCGTCTTGGCCGCGCTGGAGCGAATCAAGTTCGGTGTTTGCCACGATTTTACCTTCCCGTAACAGCCGCACTTTGCTCTGAGACTTAATCACTCCGTCTGTCACTTTGCAGCCGGCGATGTTGCCGATTTTGGAAGAGTATATCACCTTTAAAATTTGGGCTTCACCGGTAACTTTCTCGGTGAACTTAGGCGCCATCATCCCTTTCAAAATCGTTTGGACGTCCTCAACAATTTGGTAAATAACCGTGTGGGGACGAATGGTCACTTTTTCCTGGGCAGCGATTTGCTTAATGTCGTTTGAAGGTCGGATATTAAAGGAAAAAATCGTCGCTTGCGAAGCTTGAGCTAGCAAAATATCGGATTTGCTAATTTGCCCAACCGACGAACGAACCACGTTAACTTTAACTTCTTCGTTTTCAATTTTGCTCAGTGTTTGTTTGATCGCTTGGGCCGAACCTTGCACATCCGACTTAATGATCACGTTTAAAACTTTCACGCCCTCCTTGACTTGGAGCGGAATACGTTCTTTTAACTCCTGAGCGCGGTCTTCTTGGCGTTTTTGCTCGGCTAAGTTCTTGGCAAACTTTTCGTCTTTAAAGGCGAAAAAACGGTCGCCCGCCCGGGGCGAATAATTAAGACCGGTGATCAAGACTGGCGTTCCCGGCAAAGCGACTTTTACCGCTTCTCCGTTTGGATCAAGCATCATACGAATGCGACCGTAGTGAAAACCAGCCACCACAAAGTCGCCTTTGTGGAGTGAACCGTTTTGGACAATTAGCGTTGCGATCGTGCCGCGACCTTTGTCAACTTTGGATTCAATCACTGTTCCGAGCGCGAACCGGTCGGGGTTAGCCTTTAACTCCAACATTTCCGCCTGCAAACTAATCGCCTTGAAAAGCTCTTCGATCCCTTGCCCGGTTAAGCCTGATCCGTAAACAAACTGCACGTCACCGCCCCAATCTTCGGCCGTCACGTTTTCCTTGGATAATTCACGTTTAACTTTCTCTAGGTCAACGCCAGGCTTATCAATTTTGTTAACAAAAACGATGATTGCCACTTTAGCGGCTCGGGCGTGGTCGATTGCTTCCCGCGTTTGGGGCATGACTCCGTCGTCGGCAGCCACCACTAAAACGACGATGTCAGTTACTTTCGCGCCGCGGGCACGCATGGCCGTGAAAGCTTCGTGACCCGGCGTGTCAATGAAAGTAATTTTTTGACCTTCATGCTCAACTTGGTAAGCGCCGATGTGCTGGGTAATGCCGCCCGCTTCGCTGGCGGTAACTTGGGTGTTGCGAATTTTATCGAGCAAAGTAGTTTTGCCGTGGTCAACGTGACCCATGATAACTACGATCGGTGGTCGCGGTTTGAGATCTTTGGGATCGTCTTTGATTTCCAGCACTTCCATGAAATTAGAAGCGGTCACCTGCTCTTGCTTGCTAAAGTCGTAGCCGTACTCTAAACAAAGCTCGGCGATTTGCTCTTCGGTTAGCATGTGGTTAATGTTGTAAAGTTTGCCAAGTTTAAAGTAATGGTTAATGATTTGGTTGGGCGACTTACCAATTTTGGCGGCAAATTCACCGATCGTGAGAGGACTGGTAAAAGTAAAAACGCCGTCTTTTAACTCAATATCAACGGTTTTAAACTGGGTGCGAATTTCTTCAACGTTCGACCTACGTTTGTCTTTTTTCATCTTCCCCTCCTTTTAAAATGGCGATTAGCGCTTCGTAAACACCGCGCTCAACGTTTTGGCGGAAAGCTTTGTGAAGCAGTTTCTTCTGCCAAATCTTGTTCGGATCGCTCAGTTCTTTGGCAAAATACACGCCGCGGCCTGGCAATGACGAATTAACTTGGATACTTTGGTCGGGCAAACGAACCACCCTTATTAAAGCATTTTTCGGGAGGATTTGGTACGTCAAATAACAGCGGCGAAAGACGTCTTTATTCGTCTTTGTCATCGTTTTTAGACGGGTTAAAACCAAAGTCCTGGTCAAACTCAGCCTCCATTTTTTTGAGCTCTTCGTCGGTAAAATTAGTTTCTAAATCGGCCGAAAAATTGCGGCTTGGCGTTGCTTCTTCTTCCTCCTCCTCGCTCTGCTCGGTGATGTTTTCTTGGAAAGAACGAATTTGGTCGTCAATCTCGCTAAAATCAATCCGCGGCGAGCGGTTAGTTGAACGTCGGTAGTCAAACGACTCGCTCGGTAAACGTCCGGTGCGACTGACGCGGTGCAAATCGTTTTCGCTGAGCGTTCCGTTTCAAACGAAGGAAATGTTTTGCTCGCGGGCTTGCTCAAGCGAAAGAATGTCGATGTTAACTTTGGTAAGTTCAACCGCCAGTCGCACGTTTGAACCTTGGCGACCGATCGCCAAAGTTTGGTGAACTTGGGGTGTGATGGCAATTTTAGTGCCGGGAACGCTCCGACCGTACTGATCAACTTTGTTTTGCACGGCCACAATTTTGGCCGGTTCAAGCGCGTGGGCGACGAACTTGTCAAGGTCAGTTGAATGGTTGATGATGTCAATTTTTTCGCCCTCTAGTTTGTTAACAATCGCGCTAATCCGAGTTCCCTCGGGACCGATCACGGCACCGACGGGATCAACGTTAGGATCGGTTGATCGCACGGCGACTTTGGAACGCTCACCCGGGATCCGGGCTAAAGCGACAATTTCGACCACGCCGTCGGCAATTTCAGGTACTTCGGACTGTAAAATTTGGCGCACCATTTCCTTTGAGCCGTTGGAAACCACGATTTGAGAATCACGAGCCTCGCGCTTAACTTCCTCGACAAAAACTTTGATTTTTTCCCCGATCGAAAGTGGAATTTTAAGGTTGCGCAGCGAAGCGGGCATGTAAGCGTTGGTCCCTTCCGAAAGACTTAAAACTACGTCGCCCTTACGACTAATTGATAAAACGGTTCCGTCCACGGTTTGACCGACTAAATCTTTGTGACGGTCAAAAATATTTTGCTTTTTACGCTCGCGGAAAGTCTGGGTTAAGAGCTGTTTAATTTGGTTGGCAAACTGCTGAAAACTGACTTGACGAGCAATTTCCTGCCCAACTTTAATGTCTTTGTTAAGTTTAAGAGCCTCGCTCAAACTAATTTCAATCGCTTGGTTACGCGGATCAAAATCATCGTCCTCGACCACTAAAACGCTGTGGTTAATTAACTGGAAAAGGTTTTTTTCCGGATCAATGTTTAACTCAAGACGAGCGTCGGGGTCGTAGCGGGTGTGAAAGGTGCGGGTGATTGTCTCGCGGATGATGGTGAAAATCTCGTCCTGATCAATCAAGTTGTTTTTGGAAATTAACTCAATCGCAGCGAAAAACTCCTCCTGATCAAAAACTGATTTATTTTTACGGATCATAAACTCTCCTTTTAACTAGTTAGACCGGTTGAAAAGACGTCTAAAATGTATGGTCTAGTTCCGGCGTCAATTTGGTCAAGGTAATCGGAAATTTGGCGTGATAAGAACTTAATTTGACTAAGGCCAGTCAAAATGGTACCCACCCGCAAGTAAAGTTGCTCGCCTTCTTGTTCCCAGTCAGCACTGGTAATTTGAGCAAAGCGTTCCCGAAGTCGCTTCTCAACTGATTGCATTATTATCTCCCCAAACAAGATGAGTTGCCCGAACGGCAACTCAATAATATTCAGTTGACGCCCAAATTATAACACTATTTAAAGAAGTTAAACGCTATTTGGTTGGTTTCGTGGAGCTGGTTTAAAACGCCTAACTCGGCTAACTTAGCCAAAATGGTCCGGTTGATCAAAGTTCGCTCGTAAAGATCTTCGCGGGAAGTAAACCACTCTTTTTGGCGCTCGGCCACGATCGAGTTAGCGGCGTTAATACCCAGTCCATCAATCGCCACGAACGGTGCAATCAGCGCCCGGCTTGACTGGTCAATCACCCAAGTTGTCGCTTGGGAACGTTTCAAGTCGACATTTAAAAACTTGATTTTTCGAGCGTAAGCTTCGTTGGCAATTTCTAAAATCGGAATGAGCGCCTGCTCTTTATTACTTAGTTCGGTTGAGCCGCGCTTGTTGCGACCTTTGATCAGATCTTGCAAACGCTCTTCAACCAGCTGCTTTCCGCCGATCAAAGTCGTCAGTTCACTGACGTCGGCACGGGTGGAGAAGTAAGTCGCGTAGTAGGCTAGCGGGTGGTAAAGTTTAAACCAAGCGATTCGCAAAGCCATAATCACGTAAGCCGTGGCGTGAGCCTTGGGAAATATGTACTTAATTTTTTTGAGCGAATCGATGTACCAGGCCGGTACTTTATGCTCAGTCAAAAGTTTCTCCTGGTGTTCGCTAATTGAGTTACCTTTGCGCACTTGTTCCATAATCGTGAAAGCAGTTGACTCGTCGATCCGCTGGGCGATCAAATAGTTCATAATGTCGTCTCGGCAAGAGACTAAGTCGTGAAGTTTAAGACCCCGGTTTTTGATCAGTTGTTCGGCGTTATTAGTTCAAACGTCGGTTCCGTGCGAAAGTCCTGAAACTGAGATCAAATCGCCAAAACTTTTAACTTGGACGCTCTTTAGCATCAAACGGACAAACTTGGTGCCAAACTCAGGAATTCCGAGCGCTCCGGTTGTTTCGCCGTTAATTTCCTCGGGTTTAACTCCTAACTCCTGCGGAGAAGAAAACAAACTTAAAACGCGCGGCTCAGACATCGGGATTGAACTAGCTAAAACACCGGTCAACTTTTCTAAGTTCCGGATCGCGGTCGGATCATCGTGACCGAGCAAATCAAGCTTAACCACGTTGTCGTGGATAGCGTGGAAATCAAAGTGGGTCGTTAGTCAGTTGGCCTGGGTGTCGTTGGCCGGATAGTTGACCGGAGTAAAGTCTTCCACGACTTGATCTTGGGGAACGACGATAATGCCGCCCGGGTGCTGACCGGTCGTTCGTTTGGTGCCCGTCACGTGCTGGACGAGAAAACGGCGGTACATTTCGGAAATTTCTCGGTCAGTTTCTTCCTCCCAGTTTTTAACAAAACCAAAAGCAGTTCTTTCGGCAACGGTCGAAATTGTGCCGGCGCGAAAACAGTGCTTAACGCCAAAAAGCTGCCGGACTTGGTCGTGGACAGCGCCCTGGTATTCGCCCGAGAAATTAAGGTCAATGTCGGGCACTTTGTCGCCACCAAAACCGAGAAATGTCTCAAAGGGGATGTTTTGGCCTTCGCGAGCCATCGGCTGGGCGCAGTTAGGACAATTTTGAGACGGCAAGTCGTAACCCGAGTTGAGACTGGGGTCGTGGACAAACTGGCTAGTTTGGCACTTGCGGCAAAGGTAGTGGGGAATTAAGGGGTTAACCTCGGTAATTTTGGCCAAGGTCGCGACTAACGAAGAGCCAACCGAACCGCGCGAGCCGACCAGATACCCGTCTTTGAGCGACTGGTTCACCAAAAGGTGGGAGATTCAGTAAATCACCGAGTAGCCGTACTTTTGGATCGGTTCAAACTCTTTCTTCAAACGGTCAGCCACAATTTGCGGTAACTCAGAACCGTAGGTTTGACGAGCGTTTTGGTAAACGAGTCCGACCAATTTTTCGTGCGCTTGGTCCAAGGTCGGCGGATAAAGGCGGTCTTTGATCACGACTATTTTGTCAATTTGGTCGGCAATTTTTTGGGTGTTCAGGACCACAACTTCCTCGATTAGACGGGCATCTTCTAAAAAAGCGAAGGCCTTTTTCATTTGGCGAGTGGTTCGAAAGTGGAGCTCGGGCATTGGGGCTTGATTTTTCAAAAAGCGGTGGAGCGGATGCCTTTCCCCGCCTAATCCTTTGGAGTAAACGTAGACCTGATAAAAAACTTGGTCTTGGGGTCGCAAGTAACGCACGTCGCCGCTCGCGACTACCAGTTTGTTTTGCTGACGGGCCTGGTCAACGACCATTTTCAAAATCTCTTCCAACTGCTCTTTGGATAAATCGGGTCCGATTAAGTGGGCAAAATTTTCTGGCGGTTGGCACTCAATGTAATCGTAGCGGCTAATTTCATGGCGAACTTGTTCGGTTGTTCCGCGCAGCATTTTGTTAACTAGGTGGGAGCTAAGTCCGCCCGAGCCGATTAACAAGTTCGGCAAATGGGCGAGATCGCTCCAAAAAAGTTTCGGCGTTTTTCAGTACTGCTTAGTGTGGGAAAGCGAAACGAGTTGAAACAAATCGCGCAGTCCGCGCTGGTTTTTCACCAGCAAAGTTACTTCGTAAGCAAAAGCCTTTTCCCAAAGACTTTGGTTGCGGTAATCGGCTAAATCTTGAAGCGTAATGATTTTTTGGTTGGCTAAAACTGGCACGGCTTGCAGTCACGCCTCAGCCAGAACGCGCGCGTCGTAGTCGGCACGGTGAGCTGAACTGCGCTGGTAATTAACGCCTAGTCGTTTGACAAAGTTTTCTAGCCGGTACTTTTTGCTCTTGGGATCAACGATGCGCGCCACGATCAAAGTGTCAACGACGGGATTAGTTAACGGCGGCAGTTTGAAACGGGCGATTTTCTCCTCCAAAAAGGCGCCGTCAAAACTGGCGTTGTGAGCAACCAAAACTGCGCTTCCAAGGTACTCGAGAATTTGCTTCACACCTTCGACTTGCGAAACAGCGCCGTGGACATGCTCCTTAGTGATACCGGTCAGACGGGTGATTTGGGCATTAATCGGTCGGTCGGGTTTAATAAAAAACTGGCGCCTATCAACGATCTTACCGCCAACGATTTTGACCCCGCCAAATTCAATGATGTCATCCACGATCGGGGAAAGCCCGGTTGTTTCTAAGTCAAAAACGACGTACTCTAAATCGGATAGTTTTTGGTTAGACCCACCGTTTCTAACGGTGCCCGGGTCGTGATCGATGACTTGGAAAGTGACGCCGTAAATCGCTTTCAGTGGCGTGTCTTTGCTCTCGTTATAAAAATCGGGAAAAGCTTGGACCGAATTTAGATCGGTGATCGCGAGCGCCGTAAACTGGTTTTGCAAGGCGTGCTGCACGATTTGCTTGGGATTTAAAATCCCGTCCATAGTCGACATTTGGGTTCGCAGCGACAGTTCAACCCGGCGGATCGGTGCGTCGTCTAAATCGCTTTCCAAAGGCGACTTAATGACGGTAATCTTGTTGGCCATCACGACCATAGCGCGTTTGTAGTTATCAAACTGGTGAGCTCCTTGGACGCTGACCCAGCGACCAAGCCATGTTTGTTTTTGAAAAGTCTGCCGGTCGTGATCAGTGCGGAGAAATTTCTTGACCATGATCGCTTCCTGGTAGTCGCTAACCCCGATTTCAACTACGCTGACGTTTGTTTTAGCGCTGTGGCGGTAATTGAGTTCAAAAACTTGACCTTGGATTTCAACTTGCGACTGGGGAGCGTCTTTTAAATCGCCGATTTGCGAAACGTAGTAGCCGCGCTTGGAACGTCGGCTGGGGGCCAAACTAGCGCTTGGTTGACGTTGGTATTCTTTCCAAGCTTGGCTAACTTGCTTGAGATGGACGCGTTTTTCTTGACCCAGCAAATCTCCGTGGGGCTCATGGTAATTAAGTTTAAGCGTTAAATTTTCAAAACCAAAACGTTTGAGTTGAGCGCTAATTTTGTTTTGCAGCAGAACGCAGTCCTGGTAGATTTTTTCGTTATCTATGTTCAGACAAAGCTCTTCATCAGTCAGTTTCATTGACTCGTGGTAAATAAGCACCGCTAACTTGGGCTGCTTAAGCAAATCGCCCACAATTCAGCGCAAGTACTGTTTGAGCGTTAAAAGGTCAAATTGGCAAGTTTGAACCCGAAAATCAATTTCGGTTCGATGGGGAAAGTTGTGGATCAGACAGTCGTAAAAAGCGATTAACTCGTCCAAGGGAACGATTCCCTCGGTTGCGAGCGTGATTTTGAAAACTTTTTGCTCCGAAAGTTTAGCAGCCAACACCCGCGCGCCGTCAAAACTGGGTGAGGGCGTGAAACAAATCTTTTGGGCAAGTTTAGTAAAAGCTGAATCCATCTAGTCCTAGGTTAGCATGAAAATGCTAATTACAAAGAAGAGGCTGACCGAAATGGCGTCGATCCGGTCAAATATACCGCCGTGCATCGGCAAAAGGTTGGAAAAATCTTTCAGTCTGAGCGAACGTTTGAGCGCCGAAAAAAACAAATCGCCAAGTTGGGCAATGACGGGCACGGTTAGACCCATCAAAATTGAGAACCAAACTTGGTGACTTGCATCAACTGGTCAAACGCGACAAAAATAGCCGACTAAAACGGCAAAAAAACTAGCTACGAGCCACGAACAAACCGCGCCAGCCCAAGTTTTTTGGGGTGAAATGCTCGGAGCTAACTTTTTACCTCGGAACCATTTTTGGCCAAACCAAGCACCACCTAAGTAACCAAACGTGTCGCTC